TAATGATACTATTTATCATCTAGGATTATGTGTGTGTGTCATAATTAAATTACGTTTGAAATTCAAATAGTTACATTCGTATTGATTCACTACGTAAAATTTGGCATAAGAAAAAATAAAAATATAGATCATAAGACAAAAAGAATTACAATTTATGTGCATTTTACACTATATTTTTATGTTCATAATTTTAAATAATATATAATATTTTTACGACGATTAAATATTTTTATGGTCTCTTTTTACGTCAGAAATAAGATAAAATTTACGAAACGTAAAATTACGATGCATTAATGATAAAATAAAAAAGGTAGTGTGTTTCGCCTATTTTTTCATCCGTTCATTACCGAACATATTTTATTTCTATATTCGAGGTATAGGAATAAAATTATGGGTGCATTTTATACGGTGCATTATGGGTATGTCTGCTAGAAAAAAAAGGCTATTTCACAACTTCGTAGGTGGCCCGCGTGGTGTGGACCAGCAAAGCCAGTCCATTTATTTTTCTGCCCACGCTGCTGGAAAAAAACTATTTTCCGCTCAGGGCAACAATTAGTTAGAATTTCGCACAGGACAATCAATAACGGGCTGGCCCATTTTTCTTTGTTTCTATGATTTACTTCCATTTTTATTCTCCTTCCCCTATCTCATTTTCCTCTCCAAATTTATTTTATTATAGAATTTTTTCATAAATTCAAAATTCTCAAAAAAAATACATAATTTCAAAAAATATCAAATTTAGCAAATTTTCAGAATTGCAAATTTTTGTTGCTATTTTGAAAAATATTCGGAGCTTGAAAAAAGTTTCCCATTTTTTCAAAAAGAATTATTATTTTTCAAAATTGTTCGAAATTTCTAAAAATAAAATGGCATTTTGAAAAATAATCCAAATTTGTAAAATATTCTTTCTTAGTTAAATTTTCACAATTCAAAATAATGTTCGTGTATAAAAGATACACATTTTTGAAAAATGTTATGAATTTTCAACACATATTCCCATTCTAAAAAAATGTTGAAAAATTCAAATAGTGTTCATGTTTTAATAAAAAAATTGGTATTTTCAAAAAATGTTTGTGAATTTTAAAAGATGTTCTTGTTTCAAATTTTGTTAGCGTTTTGCTGAAAGTGTTTGTAATTTTAAAAAAATCGTTTAGGATTTAAAAAATAGTTCATGTTCCCTACAATATTCAGAAACTTCATACCTTAAAATCTCCTTAAGGAAAAGTAGATTGAATAATTCATGGGCCTTCTCTAGCATACAATGACGTAACAAAACTCTTAAATGTTCTCGATCAATGAATAGAAAATATAGTGTTTTGATTACTTCACACCCGATAAAACCGAGAAGCTAAATTTTCCTTTTTCACGTGCACACAGGGTTTTGCTTCCACATATAATTCTCACTAAATTTAAATGCATACTATTTTTTCTCCCGTTGCAACACACGGGCATATGTGCTAGTAAATAAATTTTAAATTGCAGTGTATGAGAAATATTGCAGAATTGGGTTGAAAAATCGTATGTGTGTTCTTTAGTCTATGTTAAAGACTTATCCAAGAAAAGAAAAGAACTTTAAACATCTGGTTGCCAAAACTCGGCCCCAACTTGGAGTTTATTAATGTTTTGTTCTAAAGAAATGCAAACAAAATCTAGAGAACATGAAACTAGTATGTTGTGGTAAATTTTAAGAAGATTTCACAAATGTTGTAATGTATACAACTTAGAAACCGTACTATTTTCAAGGAAGAATCGTGGTTTCGGGACGCAGTGGGTTAGTTTTGAAGGCGAAGCGGCAGCAGCTTCATGGGTTTGCCTTGCAATTTTTTGTACACTCAACATGCACCGTTAATTTTTCTATGTAATTTGTTTTTCATTTTTGGAGGTTCATTTGCTATATTTAAGTCATTTGGTGCATTTCAAAGCATTTAATATATTTTTGTTCTTTTGTCTATGTTTAGGTGTTACCTAAGAAAAGAAAAAAGATCTAGACATTTGGCTGCCATGACTCAACCTCGAACATTGAGTTTATTGGTTTCTTAATTTCAAAAAATGCAAACAAAGTCCAAAAAAACATGAAACTTAGCATGGTGCCCAGTGCCCTTAAATGGCATAAGTATGTTGTGGTAAAAAAATTATAAGGTTCATCAAAATTCTGATTTTTTTAGGGCGCAAAAATTCTGATGAAGCACCCTGGGATGAATGATAGCATCCATGTCACTATGCACTAGCTGCTTTTCAATCTAAGGCCACAAAAAAGTAATCAGCATTTAGGGCTTATATTTATTAATCTTTAACAAAATAAATTCATTTTGATTATTATTTTGGGGTTGAACAATAGGTATGTAATATAGTGATACAAAAATCATGGAATAAATTTAATAGCTCCCTAATATTAGTGGAAGGCAATATCCAGAGTTTCAGAAGATTCCATCAATGGACCCCTCAATTATATCTATTCATTTTATTAAAGTTGCATTTTAATTAGGGTTTTGCCTTTACTAAAATTTGAATGTTTGAATCAACCTCATTTCAAGATTGATGTAAAGTAGACACGATGGCATGCTAATGCAACAAATAATTATGCTAATTAAAAAATATCATCAGTCTTGGGCTGTTACAACTGCTCAGAAGCTCAGGCTCAGCTACTAACTTGGGGTGATGCTGGTTGTGCTTGATGGCATCACAATGTTTGGAGTTCCTGATGAAGCACCTGAGACGAATGATAGCATCCATGTCATCATGCTCCAGCCGCTTTATGTTCATGTGGTCTGTTGTTATGTGTTTTGCTTCTGTGGGGTTGTTGAGGTCATCTTGGGCTATTGCTGTTTATGCTTTGCTACCTGAACTAGATGGTAGGATGAGGGAAGAGAGTTGAGAGATGTGTATTTACTTTCTGAACTGCTGAACTACTGTATTTTTGGGTTTCGTTTCCATGAAATGGAACTGGTGTGAGCCCTTGTTGATCGGAAAAATGATACAACAGATAAAAGACTACAAGATACATCGAAAGAGCACACATGCACATGGAGACAGCACACGAAATTGTGTTTCTTCAAACCCACACCAGGCTACTCTAAATTATAATTACAGGAAATAAACCTGTACAAACAAAATAGCCGGTCCAAAATACAGGAAATAAACCTGTACAAACAAAATAGCCGGTCCAAAATCCGTATGCAGCTACAGGGGCTAAACCAAGAACGACCTCGAAATAATCTTGAGGCAGATGTCTGTAAACCATGTCATTTTCTACACTGCAATGAATGTGGATGTTTCTGGGGCTGATTTACATCTAAGCGTCCCGACAATAATATTGGCACCATGTGAAATTAGCCATGCTACATATTGTCATTGGCCGGTCTATTTGACCAGACAATCTCTATCTCTAGTGTTCTTGAGCCATCCTTACCGCCGTCATGGCTGAGGCTGAAGAACCCACTGTAAACTCCCTCGGTGACCACTTTGTCAATCTGGATGGTTA